GCTCGACCTCAGCTACAACAAACTCACCGGCCCGATCCGCGGCCTCCCGCCGAACCTGAACGAGCTGGCCCTGAAGTCCAACTCGCTCTCCGGCCCGCTTGGACGGAACGAGTTCTCCGGGTTGACCCGGCTCGTGGTTGCCGAACTCAGCGAGAACTCGCTCACCGGGGAAGTGGGGTCATGGTTCTTCCTACTCCCCGCCCTGCAGCAGGCCGATCTGGCTGGGAACCAGTTCACGGCGGTCAACGTCGCGAAGCCGCCGCCGGCGAGCGAGCTCGTGGCCGTCGATCTGAGCTACAACCAGATCGAGGGGCTCCTGACGGAGAACTTCTCGGAGTACCCGGCGCTGCGGTCGCTATCGCTCAGGTACAACCGGCTACGGGGGCCGATCCCGGGGCGGTATGGCGGGAGGGGGTCACCCCTGCGGCGGCTGTACCTCGACGGGAACTACCTGAACGGGTCGCCGCCGGAGGCATTTTTCTCCGGAGGGGGACTGGATTCCGGAAGCCTGGGGGACAACTGCCTGGAGAGGTGTCCAGCGAGGTCGGGGCTCTGCCTGAAATCGCAGAAGCCGGCGGCGATTTGCCGACAGGCCTACGGTGGGAAGCCAAAATCTTGAGTTTGTCAATAATATTTTATTTTTCTTTTATTTTTTGGTTCACTGATTGCGACATTTTTCTCAATTTTTTATTTTCTTTACCATTTCTATTCGGGCATATGGTAATGTGTAAGTACGTCTATTTTTATTTATTTATATTTATATTTGTTATTAGTCTCGGTAGGATCGAAGTCTGTTTTAATAAAGGGATTAATAGTTAGTATTTTAGTAGGCTGTTATGTTGGCATGCTTATATTTCATTCAATAATACACCCCTTGTGTGTGTGGATTTTAATATTTAAAAATAAAAATAAAAAAGACTCATTTAAACCCAGGTATATCGAACGAACCGGTCGAAATGTCAAAATCGAAATAACCGAGTTGAATTTTTGAAAATCCCAAATCAACCGAGTTTTTTGTCTCAGACCGAACTAAAATCGAACCGAAATAATCGACTTCTTCAGCTGGGTTTTACCGAAGTAACCAAAATTAATAAAATTTATAATATAAAAAATTTATTCAGTATTTCAATATTTTTATTTAATATTTTAAATTATTTCTGCCGAAAAAATATAAAAATATATAAAAAATATTTTTCATATAGTTTGGTTGATAACGAATTGAAATAACCCAAAATTTAAAAGTAAAATCGATAACCGACCCGACATAAAACCCGAATTGAATATTTTATTTCAATCGATTTTTTCGATTTTGGTCGAACTTTGCACACCCCTACATTTACCCATTGACTATGGTTTGGTAAACCTGACTGATAGATGTAAGTGACTTTCGTATCGGTCAATAAGTGGAAAGTCTATAAAATATAAATAAAAATATTGGTAAAACTAGTTTATAAATTAACTAGAAAATACAAAATAACTTAAATGTACATAGTCAAAACTAGTTTATTTTGTATTTTTCAGATAGCACACCAACTTATCTCAAAATTTTAAGATATTTATTATAAGGTGGTGCATTCTCAAAGTGTCATAACAGGTTACATACGATACATCTAATGGCTATGTGATCTAACAGGGTACAAAACAAATTTTCACATGAACAACATATAAATTCAAGCAAACTCAAGTCTGAGGTGATAATCTCGTAAATAAATGGATATACGATGGTAAAAAACATATCAGTTATTAGTGGTAAATTGGCCATTACATCAATGACAACTCACTCAGTGGGCTCTACGCCTCTACCCCATCCTACCATCCCTAATATCTATCTCACACGTAAACTTCGCGCCTACCTTCACCAACTCGTCTACCATGCATCTCAGTCCTCCTCTCCATCTACCTTCACCAGCTCGTCGCCGCATCTCCGTTGCGCCTCTGTCGTGCCTCCGATTACACACATTTACACATACTTGGGTAAGTATTTGTCGATCAAGCGGTCGAAGATTCTTAGTAGACACTAATTCATCAGTTATAACACTAATTAGACAATTAATTTCCCCAAAGTAATAGATATTTCTATCATATACTCCAAAATGAGTTTTTCTATCATAATACATAAAATAATGAGGAATCAAGAATCTTTAAGTTTGTACACCACTGCAAATTGCTTTCTTATATTCCTTCAAGAAAAGAGAGGTTGGTAAGATGCTAAAAACAGACTAGTCAAGTGATTACTTAAAATCAAATAAAAAGGAATAAATACAAAAATGAACCATATTTTAAATTAAACTAACCAACCACTCATGTTTGACAATATGCCACCCAAATTCAACACCACTATTTTATTTATTATTTGGTTATTATAAATTTGCATTTTGGTTTAAAAATTATAGTTAATCGACATGTCTAACAACTAGCCGATACAATATACAAAAAATTAGGACCAATTAAGTAACTGGTCCTGGTCTTTGAGTAACAATTCGATTCGTCTAACTATTGTACAAACTCATAGCATGATTTATACTATGAGATTAAAATTACTGTCCGGCAGAATTAATGATTAAACAATCCTACCAATTGAAAAACAATGTGTATTCTTTTAAATAAAAATGTGAAAGATAATATAAATAGAAAAATAATATAGCATATCATGCTATAAATATATATTTTTATTAAAAAGATACGACGGGTCAACTCACCAAACGATTAAACTGGATAATGATTTGTGTTAGAATCAAATCATCACAAATGTTAGGTAAGATTGGCTGTCGGGATTAAATAATACTTCGTTTGGTATGAGGGATTTCTAACATAACTGAAACAAACATATATATCCTTTAATATATAGATATGCCAGCACATGCCTATGTTTTCTGTTCAGGTTGGTGTATATTAATTAATATACTCCATCAGTCAATCTCATTTCATAATACAAAATATCATAATGCAAATAAAATACAAAGTGATGGTACTTTAAAAAAAAAAAGGGAAAATTTCAGTTTTGGTACCCCAAGAATATCTACTTTTCACTTTTGATATTCGTGTTTTCGACTTAATCATATTAGTACGTAAGTATGAAAAATCAATCAATTTTGGTCACGAACGTCACTTGACTGTAAGTCAACTAATGGAAACTGGCTATAGTCGGTTACCATGTTCGAAAAAACCTATTGAGCCTAATCCATCCAATTTGATCGTGCATTCAGTCCCAATTCTCAAATCAGTAAAGAAAAAAGCCCTAATTGCGATTTTCTTCTTCAAATTTGTTGAGGTGACAATCATCAGTTGAGACGACAATCTTCACCATATTTTCAATCAATTGGTGTGGTGTCTCAGAAAGAATCGCGACGGGCATATTAACGTTGCATCTGCAGAAAAATCCGACGAGCCATCTGAATCTATGGCGAGAAGGATTATATGTGGACTGCCACCTGAATACGGTAAGTAAATCTCGTCTTCCTTGTCGAATGCAATGTTGGTATCATTCATCTTGCTCATTGTCTCCAATAACTGAGCTTCCATTTGAGCACTCTTCATCTTGTATTGCTCAATTTGATCTTCATATTTATTTAATTTTTCCAGCAAACTGGGTATAATATTCTTTGCTCTTTCACAAATTTCTGGATCCAACCATACAAAAAATCCACAATAACCAGATTTCTGCACAATTTGTACAAATACTTTTTACGTTAACCAAATTAAAACAAAAAGTAAATGAGTAATTAAATACTTACACAATATTTAGGGCATGCCCAATATCTTCTTCCCGGATTTTTTCGACTCCAAGAGGTCTTCAAGTAGACTCTTATTCGACAGATGCAAGTCATCTCCATTGGCTGGCCATTATTTTCAGAATTCCAGCTTCTCCTTCAAGTGCTCATGGTCGGATTTTCTTTTTTGCGCCGGAAAAATGATGACTTGGCCGGAAATCTCCCCAAAAGACGAGATTTTTTTTTTTCGCCTAAAAAATGAACCAGCAGGTTTATCTCCATTTTTGCTCGTTGGAGAAGAAGAAAGAACTTGTTCAGCCAGTTTCCGTTAGTTGACTTACGGTCAACTGACGTTCGGGATCAAAATTGATTGATTTTTCATACTTACGTACTAATATTGATTAAGTCGAAAACACGAGTATCAAAAGCGAAAAGTAGGTATTTTTGGGGTATCAAAAATGAAATTTTCCCAAAAAGAAAAAAATTACACTCTAACTTAGATGTTACACTTTTCAAAATAATTATATATATATTTACACTCTTCAAAAAGCTGATTAAAATGGTCAAAAAAACCACATACACCAACAATTCTAATATTTCAATTATATTTTTTGTTGAAAAATTCACACAATAGTTTTTAGGAAGCTAGATTTTTCTAATTTTTGGTCTAGTATATTAAATCACTAAATTCAAACAA